TCCTATGCTCCAGCTTGCACCCATTTCCCCTTGTCCTGTCATTGGCTGTCACTGAGAAGAGCCTGGCTCCTTCCTCCTGACACTCGCCCTTTACAAATTGGGTCACAACAACTCCATGCAATGCTACAGGTGTGAGGAGGAGTGGCTGGAGAGCTGCTTGGCAGAGAGGGACTGGGACCACTGGTTGACAGAGGCTGAACATGAGCCACCAGTGTGCCCAGGTGGCTAAGAAGGCCAACAGCATCCTGGCCTGTATCAGCAGTAGTGTGACCAGGAGGACCAGGGTAGTGATCATCCCCCTGTACCCATCACTGATGGTTGGATATTAGGAAAGCATTCTTCCCTGAAAGAGTTGTCAGGCACCAGAAGGCACTGCCCAGGGCAGTGGTGGAGTCACCATCCCTGGAGGGATTTAAAAGATGGAGAGATGAGGTGCTGAGAGACATGGGTTAGTGGTGAACAGGTGAACTCAATGATCTTGAAGGTCTTTTCCAACCAAACGATTCTGTGATCCTATGTGATGTCAGCTTTCCTAAACAGTCCAGCAACAGGCCTTCACCTTGCGGTCAGTTCACTCTAAGTACTGGAGTATGTGCTCTTTCTCCACCAAAATGTTAAAGTTGGAGGAAACCATTTCTCATTATTAAGAGAGTTAAATGCAGCTGTAGAGTAAAAGCAAAGTAATGATTGAAGCAGCACGGTCTGAAGGAAGTTATTGGAGATTCTGACTCTGGACAGATTTCACGCAAGTGTTTTCTCCTGTCAGACTCACCAGCTTCAGAACAGAGCTGGGTACACCAAGAAAGGTGAGAGATATGACAGTTATTCAAGTGCATTAGTATCAAGATATTCTAGTTGAAGCTAGGGCAGCTTCATGTTAGCTTACTCCTTAACTTACAGCAACAGTAAATAACGTGGCTTGAGTAATGGAGGACTAAGTTACAAATTGACAGTTAAATTTATCTTTGATGAACAAGGTTTGCGAATTACAGTGCATGTCCTTGTTTTCTACAAACACCTCTCTATTCAGGTGGTGTGCAGTTAAGAGTACATGGCAGAGTCAACTTCCTGAGCCATCAGTGGGTGGGATGGAGAGACTGCCCATGCAGCAAAGTCTCATGGTTTTCACAGGGATGCAAAGCAAAGGGCTCCTTAGTCCTTTTCCTGTGTCAGTAGTTAAACAACATAATATTGAATAAGTCTTTCTTCTATAATTGCTCTTTGGAATTTGCCAAGTCGTACAGGAAATGCATTTTCATTTTTATTATCTTTTCTACAGCTGCAATAGCAATGTTTTGTACCCTTGTGTTCTCACTGTGTTCTCATAATGTTGAGAAATATTGTGAAACATTGCTGGTATTCATCAAACACTTAAAGACTTCTTTATACAGGGCCTTTTTTGTTGAGAGAAGTTATTATTAAATGCTTGTTGGATGCTACAGCACAAGTTAAAATACAGTGGTCTAAAATAAATATAATGATCTAAAATAAAAGCTCGTACATAACTGTCATAATGAATGTTGCCCAATATAATACCCTTTCTGCTTCCTTGCCTTTGTCAAATACCTGGGTCGTGTATTTCTGAAAATGAACATCATCCAGAGCGTTTCATGTTGAGAAAGAAGTCAAATATGAGATCCATTAGAGGAAGTATTCAACTTGAGTCTTATCTGTGTTATAGAAACATGCATGTGGGTGATGATGGATATTCCTATTGAAGTACAAATCAAATTAACCAATTTCCACATGAAGCAGTCTGTTCAATTCATCTTAGAGGAACTTCAGCATTTTTCCTATGCAGGCACATGTAGGTATCGATTGATAGCCAAAAACTGGTTTTGTTTAGCATTCGTCAAGATTATCTTACAGTCAGAGCTCACAAGGCCAATTAGTGCCTTCATTTGTGCTCTTGCCATTCCAGAAACACTAGTGAAATTGTTGCTCAAACCAAAAGCCTTGTTATCCTATATGCAAGTTTTAACTATTAAGGAGGGAAAAAATAAGGTTGACCAGTGAGGAAATGCTCTGATCTAACAACTTAAGGGAGATCCATCCCCAGCCAGTGGAAGGAAGATCAGCCTTCTAAGAAATTAAATAGCATTAGCATCAAAATCAGAGTGAGAACCAATTGTCTTTAGCCAATATATGAGATACAAATAAAAAAGTTACTCTGTAGATTGCTGCTGATCAGTAAAAGCTTTTCAAATTGCCTTTGCTGTACGCCTTACTTGGAGGGGTCTAGCAGAGCCTGAAAGGAGTGTTTTTGCCAACGATTCATCCAAGGCATTGTTTGGTTGGTGTAATTTGATGTCATACTGGTTACATCTGGTTCTTCGCAAGAAAAGTGAAATACTGCACTCCGCTGCTGTGTGGGGGAGGGCTTGGATTTGCGACCATTCTGTTTTGCTGAGCAATTAATGTGTATGTGTACAGGGATATCATGATTTTCCTGAATGAACAACTCTGTATGACTGTGCTTCAGCATGCTGAATTGCAAAACATCCTATGAACTTGTATACAAGTCTGAAATGTTGCTGTTGCAGCTATAGAAAATATAGTAAACATATCTGATCCAATTAGAATTAATTAGTTGTGGGTTTGTTGTGTAATGTCCTTACAAGGCAGGGTGGTTTCAGTGGCTCTGATGGACAATGTGCAACCAGGGAATGGCAGGGCAGAGGCTCAGGGGGGCTAAAAGATGGGGGAGTGGTGTCAGCTTATAAATTTTGATTTTTAATTTTTTTCTTAAATTGGCCTGAAAAGCTATATTACACAGAATGACAGACTGGTCAGGGTTGGAAGGGCCCTCTGGGGATTATCCTGTCCACCCTGCCTGCCAGAGCAGTATCACCTAGACCAGGTCACACAGGAACGCGTCCAGGCGGGTTTTGAATGTCTCCAGAGAAGGAGACTCCACAACCTCTCTGACTTTGTAGAGTTCACAGTGTGCTCACGAAGGTGACAGCATTTACCTTAACCAAGTCTGGTGTCAGCAGGGAGGAGGAGGTGAGTGCTGGAAGGAAAAGCCTTTCTGGACAAGCCCACATTGCCAATTCCTCTTCCTCCTTCTCAGCAGACACGGAGAGGAGGTCACTCCGTGGCTTTAAGGGCACAAGTGGGCAGAGCAGGACTTGAAGACCTGGCTCTAGCAATCTGAGGTCACCCAGTGCCGCACCAGAAACCCGCCATGGCCAAGCCAGCCAGCCGTAGGCCATTGGCAGAGTTGACGTGAATTCTTTTCTAAATGGTGTGAAACCTAAAGAGGATCTTTGTCAGTAGGAGAGCTCTGTGAATTGTTTTGAGATTTTTTAATTATTTTTTTAAATTACATCATTGTACTTTTCATTTCAGAGCGATTCCTGTAGGAAATCTTCAAAATCCAAGCGAGACAAGGAGAAACAGACTTGCAAGAGTTGCAGTGAAAGCTTTAACTCCATCACCAAAAGGCGGCACCACTGTAAGCAGTGTGGGGCAGTAAGTATCAGAACACACGGAGCTTTCCAGTTCATTCTGCAGAGGCCTTTGAAGAATTTTTTTTTTTTTTATTCAGTGCAGGAGCTGAAAGATGTTCTGGTTCATGGCAGGTCACTGACAGAGCAGATCTTGCCACTTGCTTTACCTCCTGGGAATCGGGATAAAAAGAACAAAACCCTGGTGCAAGAGGCCTAGTCTGTGCTGTTTTAAAGGCAAATACAGCACTTTATTGGATAAAAAGAAAGGTGGTGTCTGCCCTGGGGACGTGCATGTGTCTGCAGAAACAGAACGGTTGTCTGACAGCTGTGCTTCCCATGGCAGCTCTCTCTGGGATGAACTGA